TGCCGCCGCCTGGCTGGCGCCGGCGTGCAGGCCCAGGACGCCGCCGCCTCCCCCGACGCCAGCGCGGCCCAGCTGGGCAAGCGGCTGCGGGACCTCATCGCCCGCCTCGACTCCGTGCTGCCCTACCTCAACCTGGCCATCTCGACGGTGGCCCTGCTCAACCAAAGTGGGTGGGAGGCATTGCAGCCGCACAGCTGCACTCTGTTTATTTTTTGTATTGCCTTGGAGGCAGCTGCCGGAACCAGGCTGCTGCTGCCTGTGCATCCGGCCTGCGGCCTGCCAGCTGCTGTATGCGCCTGGGAACCGAGCGGCGGCGCCGCCGGCCGGCACCCCGCGTGCGGTGCAGGCGGCGCCGCCTCCCCGCTGTCCCCCTCCCGCCTCATGTCTGCCTCCTGGCACCTGCGCTCCACCCCTCAGCCCGGCGCCGCTGTCTTCTGCCTGCCAGAGGTGCGCTGGGCGGGACTGGCACATGGGGCGCACCGGGGCTGTGTGGAAGCAAGTTGAGTCGGTTTGGTAGGGTAGGGTAGGGTAGGGTTGAGCTGTGGTGATGGGCGCCGAATCTCCCGACAACTACGCCCTGCCACCTGCTCTGTTCTGCAGGCAGCGTGGCACGAGGAGCGCCAGCTCACCGCAGCGGGGCCCAGCATGGGCGAAGTGCACCGCCTGTGCAGCCTGTCGGTGTGCCGCTGTACCGCAGGGACCGCAGGCACCGCCGGCACCGCTCCACCACCTCCGGCCACGGCGGCAGCAGCCGCGGCGGGCGGCAGCGTTGGGGGCTGGCCGCTCTGCGCCTACGAGCTGCTGCTGCAGCAGGACCTGCGGGATGGCGCGTACCACGAGCCTGAGGAAAGCGCGGGTACCATACGGCTTCAGGTGAGCCAGCGTGGGGTCAGCCTGGTGACGCTAGCTGCCACGGCATCAGGCTGCAACGGACGGCAACGGCGCTGCCGCGCCGAACTCCCAGGTTCAAATGCCCCGGTTTGCTCGGTGACTGTCCTTCCGGCTGCCAACCCTCGTTGCTGTCCTGCTGCTCTTCTGCCTTGCTGATGTGTGGCCTGCAGGTGGCCGACATCGTCGCCCTTGAGTGGGAGACGACGCAGAGCCTGAACCAGGGCGAGAACGAGTACCACCCAGCCCTGGTGCTGCACGTGTTCAGCAGTGGCGGCGTCGGACCCGTGGCGGCGGCAGCCGAGGGCGAAGCGGCAGCCGCGGCAGCCGCGGGCGGGGAGGCGGCGGGGAGGCGGCGAGGGCTGGCGACGCCAGCCAGCGGGGCGGCTGGCGGGCAGCCGGGCAGCCGGGCCGGCGGCAGGAGAGCCAGCTCTGCAGCTGAGCTGCCCGGGGCAAGTGGGAAGATGGCGGCGGCGGCAGCAGCGGTGACCTCGCCGCTTGCCGTCACGCCGCCGGGGCCGGCGGCGGCTGGTCGGGGCGGCGGGGTGGGAGGCACCATCCACCGCTGTGCCGTCATGTGCAGCATGCGGTTAGAGGAGAGCGATGATGAGGATGAGGAGCAGGAAGAGGAGGAGGAGGAGCAGGCTTCAGCCGACAGCGGCAGCGAGGGCGGCAGCGAGGGCGGCACGCGGCGCCCCGGCGCGGCCGCGGCCGCGCCGGGCCCCGCGGCCGTTGCCGCCGCCGCCGCCGCCGCGTTGCAGCGCGAGTGGCGGCTGCTGGGCGAACTGGAGTATGTCTTGCGGCTGGCCATCCTAGAGTGCTGGGAGCAGGCGACGCACCAGGAGGCGACAGATGAGCGGATCGTGATGGCTTTCCACGCCACCTCCCTGCCCCCTGCGGCAGCAGCTGGCGGCGGCATCCATGCCACCGCCCACCACCACCACCTCGCCGCGGACAGCGCGGCGCACACCACGGCGCAGCGGGCGGCGGCGGCGGCGCGGTGGCGTGGCGCCGTGGCCCATGCCGTCGCCGCTGGCGTCGACTCCATGACCGCCGGGGTGCGCCAGCTGTCCTTCACACCGGGCGGCGCAGCGCCACCAGCGGCGGCGGCGGCGGGCGGCGAGGCGGGCGGTGGCAGGGGCAGCGGAGCCGCCAGCCGGCGGCAGAGCTCGCGGGCGGGCAGGAGCGGCTTTGGGTCGCCGGTGCATTGAGGGTGCGCAGCCTGCATGCCGCGCATGGTCTCCCCTTTTTACTAGGCCTTTGCAGCATTTGGTTTAAACTGCAAACAAGCACGCTGACGACGCTGGCGGCCTGCCCAAAGCGGCGCCCGCATCCGACCCTTCTGAAGCGCTGATGTCATCTTGCTCATTATGGAGGGAGGGGGTGAAACATGCAGACTGGCATCGTCCCACCAATCGAGCGATGGGCAGGAACACTTAATAAGCATGAGGTCAATGGCTTGGGCAGGGCATGCGAGCAGGACCGCTCGCCGCCTGCCGCGCTGCGACGGGGCACAGCACGGTGTAGCATTTCAAAGTGAAATCAAAATATCATCGCGCCATTCACGTCTGAAGTCGCCACACGCCAGCTGCTCGGACCACGCCTGCACGCGCTGTTTGACAGGACGAGCCCCGCCTGATCGCTCCTCCACGCGACTCCCGCATAAGCAGGTGAGCGAAACTGGTGTTGTTGATGATGTCAACAGGGTTCGCGCGAGGTTGGCACAGACAGCGCCCCCAGGAGGCCGCCTGGCTCGAACGGCCGGCGCCGTCGCAACCCAGGCAGTGCGCGCCTGGCTGCTGGGCCCTCACCGACAAGGTGCCTGACGTGCATGCAGAAGCGGCAGCTGCACGATCGATGAATCTGTTTGCCGTATCGTTAGCGGGCGACGAGCAGGTGGTGCAGGGCGGCTGGCTGCCGGCGCAGCTGCGGCTGAAGCAGCCGAAGAAGGCAGGCTGCCGCTCCATGCAGCGGCCGGGCATTTGGGCGCAGTGCAGCAGCTGCTGGACGCAGCCCCATCCACGGCGTCCGCAGTGGACAGTCTGGGCTTCACCCCGCTGCACTATGCGGCTTTGGGGGACCACATAGAGGTGGTGCGGCAGCTGCTGCAGGCAGCCCCAGCCACGGCGTCTGCGGTGGCCAGTTGGGGCTTGACCCCTCTGCACAAAGCGGCTGAGGGGGGTGGTGTAGCTGCTGCTGCTGGCAGCGCCAGCCGCAGCGCTAGCTCGGGCTCACAATGGCTGGGCGCCGCTGCACTATGCGGCTTGTTGGCCACCTTGCAGAAGTGCAGCAGCTGCTGGAGGCTGCACCAGGTACAGTTGCAGCTGTTGATACGAGTGGCTGGACCCCGTTGGACCATGCTCTTAACAGAGGCGCTAAAGGCGCGGCGGCTGCAAACTGCATGGTGCGGGCGGCGCCGGCGGTGCAGCCAGCGTTGGGCATTCTAGTGAAGCAGCAGGGCGCTGCCACCCTCTACGCCGACCTGGTCTGCCGCCTGGCCCTTACTCAGCAGCAGTGGCACTCCATCCCAGCGCCCTGCCCCGATCTGGCGCGCGCGCTGCCGGCCGTCTTGGCACGCTCTGTGGCAGAGGCGGGGTGGCTGGTGGGTCGGCTGGGGCAGGAGCAGCGTGCACGGTTGCGCACCGCGGCCCTCGGCCTGGGCAGAGCGGCAGCGGGGGCGAGGCGCCTGCCGTCATTGCCAGGAGAGCTCACCCACCGCATCCTGGCGCTGGCGCTGGCGCTGGCGCACCCATGAGAGCAGCACCCCCTGTAACAGCACCGAGCTGTTGCATGCCTGTTGTTTGAGTGTGTTGCATCGTTCACGCACCAACCTGGCTGTTCTGCCACTATGCAACACGGCTCGGCACCGCCAGCTTGACGCCAACTTGCGGCCAGTGTGCTGCTGCCGGGTGCCGTCGCCGCACATGCACAACCCCCTTTCGCAGGAAGCAGCAAGGATGGTGGCACACTTACAACGAGGGCGTACAACAAGGTCCGCACGGCGCAGCCACAAAGTCGCGCATCGGGGGGCCACTGTGGCAGCAGTGGCGCTGCCGCCGGCAGCCACGGCCTGACGCTCCCCAGCAGTGCCAGCTCCTGGCTACTGCTTTTGCAGCAGCTGCTGAACGAAGGGGACCAGGGCATCCAGCACAATATCATATGCCTCTTTGACAGGGTGCACTCCGTCTGCGGGCCAGGTGGCATAGCAGGCACAGCGTGGCGATCGGCCAGGGGCGCAGCAGCCTTGATGGGCATGGCAGCCACAGGCAGTGCTTCGCCCGGCTGTGCAGGCCAGCTTGGGGGCTGCAGCAGGCAAGCCTGGAGCCAGCCAAGCAGGCGGCAAGGGCCAGCAGGCCCACCGGCCAGTGCCAGAGCTTCACCACCTTCCCACCCACCAGGGAACAGCTCCGAAGGCAGGTCCTCCCCAGCACCAGAGTAGTGCAGGTGCGGGTCGCCGGCGCCTGCCGCAAAGCTGCGCAGCGCATTATTCACAGCCTTGGCCTTGGCTTGCTGCGGCAGCAGGAGGAGGCCGAGGGATGGCAGGGTGCATGGCTGGCAAGCCATGGGGATATGGGAGGAGGATCTGTTTCATGAGTGCTCTGCTCGGCAGCTTGGGCAGCCCACCCTGCTCCCTTGTGCTAGCGCGCTTCACCCTGCGTCACTTGGATGCAGGTGCTGGCAGCCAGCCAGCCAAGCAGCCCACCATCCCCTCCAAATAGAATAAGCTCAGCAGCACGATGTGGGCTTCTGGGGCATGGTACCGCACGTACTGCACCAGCTCCTGAATCTGCACAGTACAAGGTGGGAATTGCGGCAGCCTTGTGCAGGCGCCTATTATCAAAGGTCGGGCAGCCGTGAGGCTGCGGCCAGCCTGGGCGGCAGCGGCATGAGAGGGACGGCGGCTGCTTGCCGCAGCCGGTGCTCCCAGCCATGATGGCGCCGGCCCTCCCCCAGGCTGAATAGCCAGCCCCAGCACCGCATACACGTGCGCGCACCTGCGCCACTAGGCTCCTGGGTGCCTCGCCCATGGAAAGGTCGTTCGTCCCTATTTGGATGCAGTAGGCGGCGGCGCGCGGCATGCCGCCGTGCCCCAGCCTCCACGCCAGGTTCTCCACGCAGTCGCCCGGCACGCCAAACAGCCCCACGGCGCCTCCCAACGCCGACTCTGCCGCAGCCAGCCGCCGCCCGCACGCGTTCAGCCCCTCGGTGATCGAGTCTCCTAGGAAAGCGAGGGCGAGCGGGGCGCGCTGCGCCTGCTGCGCCTTGTAAGCCAGCGCTTTGTTGTCAGCCCGCGCCTCCACGTGCTCTGCCGCCCAGGTGGGGCAGGGGTCAGGCGCGGCCGCATCTGCGGCCCCAGGAGGCGAGGCCTCGGCACGGCCGCGGCCCTGCAGGCAAAAGCAAGGCAGGCGGCCTGCAGGCGGTGGATGTGGCGGGTGGAGGTGCGGCGTGGCGGGGCAGACAGCAGCGTAGCGGGGCGGCCCCAATAGCATCACAGCACGACGCGCACCATGTCGCGCCCGGCAGGAGCCCGCAGGCGGGGCTTTGCAGCTCGGGCAAGTGGCAGGGGGAACCTGGGAGACTCAACAATGTGCATCTACAATGCCACAACGGCATGGTAGCGATCAGGATGCGATGGATTCAGCACGATGGGTTGGGTTTTGGCGCGCGACAGCCTGGCGCAGGCACCTGCGCTGAACCTGCTCTCTTTAGACCTCTTGCAGGACACGCACACCACCAGTAAGTGAGCTGCAGCATCCATATCTTAGAAATTGCAGCCATGGCCAGCACAGACGCAGAGGCTGTCGACACTTTCGACGCGTTGCCCGACTGCCTGCTTGCGGCGGTCTTCCTGGCCGCTGGGAGGAAGGAGGGGTGAGCCCGCCTGCAGGAGGCAGGCGGGAACAGCCTGCTGCGGTACCCATGCACGCCGTCACTGCCGCCGCCGCTCTTCTGCCGCCCTTGCAGGCCCGCCGTCACGCTCGTCTGCAGGCGCTGGTGCCGCGTGGCCTGGTCCGAGCCGGCCCTGTGGCGCTCCTTTGTGCTGCAGCCGCCGCGCGGCTCGCGGGACGCCCCGGAGGAGCAGCGGCAGCGGTGGCTGGCCGCCACCTGCGCCAGGCTGTGCCGCGTGGGCCGCCACGTGCGCTCCGCCGACTTTGATTGCAGCATGCTGTGGCGGGCGGGCCTGAGGCCAGCCGTCATGCAGGTGCCAGCCATGCTGGCCTCGCTGCCGGCGCAGCAGCTGTCGCACCTGAGGGTGGAGTGCTGGGAGATGGGCAGCGAGTGTACCACCCACGAGGCTGCGGCGCTGGCCGCCACCGGCGCCCACGCCCTCCGCACCTTCCCGCACCTCACCGGCCTGGAGCTGTCTGCCGAGCGGCTGTCGCCCGCCGACGCAGCACCGCTGCGCCAGCTGACGGCGCTGCGCAGCCTGTGCCTGCTGGGGCGCACTGGGGTGCCAGAGGCGGTGGCGGCAGCCGCCGCGCAGCTGCCCGGCCTCACCGACCTGCGCCTGGTGTCCAATGGCGGCGGCTACCTGCCACCCGCCGACGCCTTTGCGGGGCTCGCCCAGGCCCTGCCCAGGCTGCGCCACCTGCAAGTCTATTACCGCTGCCAGCGGCCGGCAGGCTCCGGGCCGGTGCTGGTGCTGCCGGCGGCGGCGGGCTTCCCCGCCCTGCAGACCTTTGACGTGTACTGCTCCTCGGGTGCGCAGGTGCGCGGCGCTGGGGGCAGGCAGGCGAGGCAGGCGACCGCGCTGGAGCTGGGACCCTTAGTGCGGACGTGCCGCAGCTGCACCCAGCCCTCAACCCCGCAGCAGGGGCTGGGCGTCCACAGCCTATCACACCAAACACCAGCACCAGCCCATGCCTCACCTCCCGCTGGCGCCTGCATGCCTGCAGATGGGAGGCATCCAGCTGCAGTCGTGTACCTATGAGCTGCAAGGCGGCGGCAGAGGCGGCACCCCACCAGCGCCAGCCAGCGCCGCCCTGGACCTCACCCTCTGGCGCGGCGAGGGCGGCGGCGGGCTGGCCCGCGTGCTGGTCGCGGTGCTGCCCCGCCCCGCGGCTGCCGCCGCCGCGCTGGCCCGCCTGTCGCTGGACGGCGGCAGCCTGGGCGTGGGGCGGTGCGGCGGCTGCGCCGCGCAGCTGGCAGGGCTGACGGCCCTCAGCCTGGCCAGGTGCGACGCCGAGCCAGCCTCCGGCCTGGCGGAGCTCCTGGGCGAGCTGCTGCCCCAGGCGCCGGGCCTGCGGTCTCTATCTCTGGCCAACTACCCAGGGGAAGGGCGCGTGCCGGCGGCACTGCTGGGCCTGAGCGGCCTGCAGGAGCTGACTCTGCAGCAGCTGGGGCTGGAATCGCTGCCACCGGGGGCCTACCTGGAGGGTGAGCAAAACCCCTGCTGCTGCTCCTCCTGCTGCGGCTGCTGCTCCTTCCACTCCCGCTCCCGCCATCGCCACCGGCCGATGCGCGGCTGCCAGCTTCCCAAGCCTCAGCTGCGCCAGGCGGCCCCAGCGCAGCCCGGCCCTGCCCGCTGACGTGCGCCGGCCAGTGCTGATCCCGTGCTTCCTGCTGTGCGCAGGGCTGACGTCGCTGCGCCTGCGCGGCAATGTCCTGATGTGGCTGCCCGCCTCCCTGCGCGCCGCCGCCAGCCTGCGCATTCTGGACCTGGATGGCTGCCCGCTGGAGCTGTCGCCTGCCAGCGTGCGCAGCGTGCTGCGCCACCTGCCGCTGCTGCGCGAGCTGAGGCTGGGCACGCACAGGGCGCAGCCCGCGGCGGCGATGGAGGCACTGCGGCGGGAGGCGCCGCTGGTGAAGGTGCAGTGCCGGGAGGAGGGGCGGCTGGCCTTCTAGTGTTTGTGTAACGCCCGACCTGTAAGGTTTCCAGATGAGGTGTTGGCTGCGGGTGGCTGGCTCCAGCGCTAGTGCGGCGGGGTTCTGTAGAGCGGCGGCGCCGGCAGCGGTGCCGACGGCCCACGCCGGACTGTTGCGCCACTGGCGCCGGCCCAGGCAGCGGCAGCAGCTGAGGTCCCAGTCCGACTGGACCCGAGTCGGGCAGTGCTGGTGTGCGCCTGTGTGCAGTAGTTCTGCCTGCATCGTTCTGCGCACATCTATCTCGCTTGCTTGCACGTTTGTAAATGGATAAGCTTCTAAGCAGGCATGGCAGCCCCAGCGTGTACCCAGGCCTGAACAGGACGACGGACCTTGGCAATGAGTGTATCTGCACCGCACTACAGCCTCTCGAAAGGAATTCCAGGCATGCCCAGGGGCGAGGTCCGTTGACAGATAATGAGATAAGGGCACAGTGTGTTGCAGCAACGTATTCAACTGCAAGGGGCCGCTCAGCTGAACTCCAGGAACACCTCGATGCGGTCGTCCCCCGAGTCGAAGCGGTAGATGGGCTTGGAGGGCTCCCACGCGGCGTCGCCTGTGGCCTGCTTCACCAGGCCTTCCAGGTCGACGCCCGCCACCGCGGGGATGAAGGTGGCGGCGGAGTTGAGGAAGCCTGCGGCGGGACGGGGGCAAGGGGGGTGGGTGGAGAGGAAGGCGTGTGTGTGGGTGGGCACGATTGGGACCGACGGTGGGAGGGAGGCGAGCGGGCACAGCGGCCCGGAAAAGCGGCAGGAAGGCTGCTGGGCAGGGGCGTGCTTGCTGGGGCGCCCTCCTTGGCTGCCGTGCCGCGGCTGACGGGTGCCCTGGTGGCCAGCCAGCCCGCCAGCCTGCGTGCGTGCCCCCTTCCATGCCCGCCAGCTTGGGAAGCGCACCGGCCGGGAAGCGTGTGTCGAGCGTGGTGGTGCCCGCCTTGCGGTCAGACACCTTGACCCGCACCCACTGCGCCCGGCGGTCACCCGGGTCGCGCGCCCGGTAGCCGCCCCCCTCCTCCCCGGCACCGCCGTACAGGTCGATGGTACCGCTGGAGGAAGCTGGGCTGGCGCCTGCACTGCTGCCGGGCTCCAGGACGAGGTCTGGCTCGACGCCGGCTCGCGGCGGCGGTACTGCTGCTGCTGCTGCGGCTGCTGCCGCTGCTGCTGTGCTCGCCGCTGCCGCTGCAGGCGGCGCCGGCGGCCGGCTGCCGTTTGCGGCGCCGCTGCTGGTGGTGGCGGTGCTGCCACTGCTGGTACTGCTGCTTGGTACCGCATACCGCGCCTCCTCGGCCCAGTACTCTGGGAAGCCGATGGACGCCTGCAGCTCCTGCACCCCCACGCAGCAGCAGCACGCATGGCATGCAGGATGAAACAAGACATTCATGGAAAGCGCTCCGATGAAGGAGGGGCCAGCCACGCCGGCCCGGCTGGCTTTGGCAGGCAGCAAGTACAGGTGGCGGAACCTGCCTGGAAGCTGGGCATGGCCGGCGGGACCGGTACCGCCCCCGTCTTGAGCCCCGCCAGCGCGGCCTCCATCGCCCGCACAGACACCCCCAGCAGGGACAGCGGGTAGGCGCAGAGCTTGAAGCCCATGGCCTGAAGCTGGGCGGGTGCCAGGATAGGCGTCTTGCCGCCGCCCTCGAGCATGCTAGCCATCTGCAGGGACGGGCAGGCAGGGAGGGGCATGGGGTGCAAGGCGGGTAGGCGGGCAGCAGGTCAGCGTGGGGGAGGCAGGAGGGAGAGGCAGGGCGACAGAGGCTGGCAGGGGTGGTCGGAGAGGCAGGCAGGAGCAGGTCGGCAGGCGGGCAGGCAGGGGAGGGAGGCAGGAGGGAGGCACCGGCCGGCACAGGCAAGGAGGGAGGCCCTGGCCGCCTTGCAGCGCCCTGCTCACGGCACACCCCACCCAGCGCTACACTTGCCACCACCCACCGTCACCATGCAGACACCACGCACAAATATACAGGCCCTCCTTCACCACCACCACCACCACACCCACCACCTTCCAACCACCTTCCAGCCCGTCCCGCCCCGCACCTTGTACGCCCCCGGCACCCGGCACAACGCCTCCATCTCCCCCTCCCCCTCCAGAGCATCTATGAACACGACGTCGGCGCCCGCGTCGGCAAACGCCGCCGCCCGCCACAGTGCCTCGCCCAGCCCCTCCGCCTGCCGCGAGTCGGTGCGGGCGACGACCAGGATGTCGCGGCCCTCGTCCCTGCTCCGGGGGCAAGGTGCGAGGTGGCAGTGGGTGGCAAAGCTGCGGCGCCATGCACCCCTTTTCCCAAGCGGCGCCGGGGCACAGCTTGGGGAGGTGGCGGCGGCGCCCACCTGGCGTCGCAGGCTGCCCGGATGCGTGCCAGCGCCTCGTCCCGTGCCACCACCCGCTTGTTGCGCACGTGGCCGCATGACTTGGGCCACTGCAGGGAGCGGGGTTGGGTGGGCGGGCAGCAGGCGTCGCCAGGTGGGCAGGCGGCGGGGCACAGGCAGCCGACTGCAGCCGTCCCCTTCTGATCCCTGAGAAGCAGCAGCAGCAGCAGCAAGGCGCGCACCACACACCGCTATGGAAAGTGGCACAGCGCAGCGTAGCGCAGAGCACCAAGCCACGCCACTCCACACCACACCACACCACACCTGCTGGTCCTCGATGAGAATCCCCGCAAAGCCTGCGGCCGCGTACCCCGCCACTGTGCGCCTCACGTTGACCGCGTTTCCGTAGCCGGTGTCGCCGTCGCCGATGACTGCGGGGCGTGGGAGAAGAGATGCGGGGGGATGCGGGAGAGGGAGAGCAAGGGTCATCACAGGGAGAGCAAGGGTCATCATCCGGGGTGGCCGGTGGGAAGCTGCAGGGAAGCTGAGGAGGCAGGGCGGGCCCCGCCACGCTGCTGTGGCAGCGCAGCGTGGGCGGTCAAGGCAGCCGCTGTGCGTCCTGACGCACTGGGCAGGCGATTGGTGGCCTCGTGGCAGTTGCGCCCGGTGTCAGCCATCTCGGAGTACGAGATGAGGCCCGTGTCGGGCGCGCCCAGGCGGGCCGCCGCCGTGCAGAAGCCGCTCATGAAGGCAAAGTCGAAGCCGGCCTGCTCGATAAGGCGCGCAGACAGGCCGTCGTGGCAGCAGGGGCCCTGCGGGGGAGGGCCCAGCGAGGGGCTGAGCGGGCTGTGCAGATGCGTCGTTGGCGCGGGCACAGCGGCGGCAATGACGGCAAAAGGGCTGAACCCAAAACACTCCCGTGGCGCTGTTCGACGAACTAAGAATTGCTACTTGGGCACCCAGAGCAGGCTGCGAGCGGAAGCAGAGGCCACAGTGGGCGGGCCCCGCCTGGAACCCACCAGCAGGATGCCGGGCTTGGCCAGCAGCTTTCGCAGCGATGCCGTGCGATCCAGGTCGACATTCTGAGCTGCCCGTGTGACGATAAGACGGCGTGCAGACCGCTGGGCGGTGCCGTGGCGCCGCTTCAGGACGCAGGACTGCTGCTGGGCGCTCGTCAACGCTTGCATGTTGCTTGTGAATGCCATCGGGCTGGGTGGAGAGCGTTCAGAAGGTCCTTGCACCGCTGGCGACAACGGGGCATCGACAAGACTGGGCGAAAGGCACCTTACATATAGCGATCGACGGGCCTCCTCATCAACTGCGATTTCCAGAGCCTTGGTGCCCGCATGGTTCGCATGCAGTGACTCGACTGGGCTGTGGGCGCCGCAACTTGCTTTCGCATATACATCGAGCTTTTAAATGGCTCCCAGCAAGAAAAGAAGTGCCCCGACCGACCTGCCAGCGCTCGCTGAGCAGCTGGTGGCCGAGCCCCGCGCCAGGGCCAACAACCTGCCCCTGCTGCTGGCCGCGCTGAAGCCGGGGTGCTCCGAGGTGCGCGAAGCACGCACCGGGTGCCGCCATGCACGCGCGCGATGGTGCTCACCCGCCGCCACCCGCTCGCTCACCTGAGCTCGCAGCCCATTCCAGCACGTTGCCACCTGCGCCTGCAGGCCACGCCCGTACTGCACCACCTGCGCATTTTCTTCATCGACTGCTTTGACCGGGGCGACCTGTCGGTCAAACCGGTGCCGGCAGAGGACCAGTCTGCTGAAGCGGTCTATGCCGCCTGGCTGCACCGCCAATACGGCGCCTACCAAGCCGGCCTGCTGCGCCTGCTGGGCGACGCCGCTGTGGATGCCCGCACCCAGGTGCGGCGCCTGCCGTCATGGGTCCGGAAGCTGTGGCTTCCAGTACTGCTGGGTCTGGCAGCTGCGGCTGCCAGTTCTGCTGATACACGCCGCGCTGCATCACGCCTGCCGCTGCTGCCGCCAGCGCTGCCCCCACCTGCCTCCCGGCGAATCCACCTGCCCAGCCGCTGCGCCCACACAGCCACCGCATCATAACCGCCCTCTCTCCCTCTTGCCCTGCCCTCCCCTGCCTGCCCTGCCTCCCGTCAGGTGGCCGCCTTCATGGCGGTGATGGAGTGCGTGCGCGGCGAGCGCCCCGGCGTGTTCAACAACCGACTCTTCCACCGCCTGCTGGCCGTGCTGCTCACCTGCGCCGGCACCGCGCCAGAGGTGCTGGGCCTGCTCATCGGCAAGCTGCTAGGTGGGGAGCCGGGGCGGGGCTGCAGGGCTGGCAGGGCTGCAGGGCTGGCAGCGCTGCGGGGCTGCACATGTGCCGCTGCTGCTGCTGCTGCTGCTTCTGCTGCTGCCGCTTTGTTTCCGGCTGCGGGGATGCCGTCAGCAGGCTCTGGGGCATGCGCTGCGCTTGCAGAGCGATGGGTTGCTGCTCGCTGATTGCTTGGGGGGGGGGCACTTGCGGCTGCGACCGACACCTGCCTGCCTGTCTGCCTGCCTGCCTGCCTCCCTGCCTGCCTGCAGAGCTGGCAGATGTGCGCTACTTCACTCTGGCCAGCATCATCAGAATAGCGCAGCCGGCACGGCAGGAGCAGCAGGCGCAGCAGCAGCAGGGCGCGGCGACGGGCGCCAACGGGGCGCCGGCAGCGGCGGCGGGGGGCTCGCGCGAGGACGACAGCAGCGACGAGGACGGGGAGGAGGGCGGCGGCGGTGGTGGCGGCAGCGTGAGCTGGCATGACCTGGCGCGGACTGTGTTTGATGTGTTGGCTGAGATGCCGGCCGCGCCTGCCGCCGACGAGGAGCTCCGGTCGTGGTGCGGCGCCGCAGAGGTAGGCATCGTGGCGGCAGCCAACGCGGGAGAGGGGGCGCGGCAGCGCAAGCGCCAGCGCCTCGCGGCGGAGGCGGCCGCGGCGGCCGGCGCGGCGGCGGGCGAGCAGCAGCGCGCCAAGTGGGCCAGCGCCAAGGCGCAGCAGCGCATGTACAGGTGTGGGGCGGTCTGGGGAGGCTGCCTGATGCGGCTGCAGGCTTTTGTGCTGGCGGGGTGCTGGCAGGGATATGCAGGGCTGGCCTGCCTGCACCCTGGGCCTGGCAGACCGCAACCGGTCTTGCTAGCAGCAGCAGCAGCAGCGCCTTTTGCGCGCCGCCCTGTTCCTCCCGCCCCGCCCATCCACCCGCGCCGCCCGCCGCTGCAGCGAGGCGTGGCTGGCGCTGCTGCGGCTGGAGCTTCCCGAGGATGTGGGCAAGCGGGTGCTGGCCAGGGTGCAGGACCTGATAATCCCTGCCCTCGTCAACCCGCTGCTGCTGGCAGGTGCGCGCGTGGCCGGGTGTGAGGGCGCCTCTGGTTCCTGGGGAGGGGTGGCGGGCGGGCAGGGGCAGCAGCCCAGGCGTCGGCAGGCAGGGGAGGCCAGCAGGCGGCGCGGGGAAGCCAGGGCGTGTGGTGTGTGGGCGGCGGCGCCTGGGCGGGCCGCAGCGAGCCAGCCCCGCCTCCTGCCCTGCTCCCAACTCACCTCCCGCCACATCCCAGCCCCACTCCACCCCGCCCCACATGCTCACCTCTCCCCAACCTCCCCCGCAACCTGGCCTGCCGCCCCGCAGACTTCCTGACAGACACCCTGGACCGAGGCGGCCTGACTGGCATGCTGGCGCTGGACGGTATCTTTGTGCTGGTCACGCGGCACGGCCTGGAGTATCCCAACTTCTACGCCCGCCTGTACCAGCTGCTCACGCCGCAGGCCTTCCACGTGGGTTCCTGGCGGCAGCTGGGGAGGGAGGAGCGGCTGGGAGGAGGTGGTGGTGGTGGTGGTGGTGTGGTGTGTGTGTGGGATTGGGTGTGTGGGGGCTTCCCCCGCTAGCGGCGCCCAGCCCGGCAGCGCTGTCACCGACGAGCAACCCTATGCCTGCTGCCCCCTGCGCCCGCAGGCCAAGCACCGCGCCCGCTTCTTTGCGCTGGCAGATGTTTTCCTTGCCTCCGGCATGGTGCCCGCATACACGGCGGCGGCCTTTGTGAAGCGGCTGGGGCGGCTGGCGCTTGCGGCGCCGCCAGCTGGCGCCCTGCTGGCGCTGGCCTTCATGCACAACGTGGTGCGCCGCCACCCGGCCACCATGCAGCTGCTGCACCGCCCGCCGCGCGGAGGGCTGGCGGGGGTGGCCGGCGCCGCGGCGCCACCGCCGCCCGCCGCCCCGCAGCCGCTGCTGCCGCTGCCTCCAGAGGTCGCCGGCGGCGGCAGCAGCGCGGCCTTGCGGGCCAACGGCGCCGCGTCTCCGGGCGAGGACGACGACGCCCCGGCGGCGGCGGCGGTGGGCGTAGCGGCGGGCCCAGAGGCCGGCCAGTCCCCGCAGCCGGCAGAGCAGGCTGCCCAGCAGCAGCAGCAGGGGCCGGTGTGGCAGGGGCACGATGTGTATGATTTCCGGGAGCCAGACCCGGGCAGGAGCCGCGCCCTGGAGAGCAGCCTGTGGGAGCTGGAGGCGCTGCGCCAGCACCACAACCCGCAGGTGGGTGGCGGCGGCGGTGTGTTGCAGGGGTGAGGGGAGGTGCGGCCCACCCCGGGCGCTGGCCCCTGCCCGCCTGCCTGCCTGCGGGTATGGGCTGCGTGCATGCCCAGTACAGCAGTCTGCCCCCCACCCTGAGGCGCCTCCCAGCATGCCTGTGACCCAAGCACGCTCAGCGTTGGCGCCACCCCCCTTGCTCTTGCACCCAGGTTGCCGCCTTCTGCTCCCTGCTGGATAAAGACCTCCGTGACCGCAAGAAGACCTCAGAGGCCGACATATCTGAGCTGCTGCCCGCCTCCTATGCCAGCATGTTTGCGGCAGAGGCGTCCCGCCGCCTCAAGGCCGTGCCCACCGCCTTCTACCGCGCGCCGCCAGAGGCGCTGTTTGGCGGCGAGGCCGCGCCCGACTTCCCCGGCTGGCGGCTGTGAGGCTGGTGGGGCCGGGCTGGGCTGTCAAACCGGGCTGCGGCTGTGTAACTCCCGCCGCGGAGGATTGGGGTCGGCCCGGCAGCTGAGGTGGCGGCGGCGGCGAGGAGACGCCCCGCCGGCCGTAGCGGCAGGCCAATACTGGGGCGCTGCAGTCCCTTGGGCTGGCGCATTCCACGTGTGCAAGCAGTTTCAGCACCTCCCTGGGCTCCGCGGTGTGCTTCAGGGGTCGAGGCAACCTCGACGGAGGTACACGTACTGCCCCTTTGGATGAATAAGACTGTAGCGCGGATGGGGGGAATGGGCGTCCGGGAGGCGATGATTGCCGCCGATCTGCCCCTCAGTGATCTGTCCACGGTTGCCGGTGGCTGTTTGCGACTCCCTGGCCAAGCTGTCTTGCCCACGCTGGGGGAGGCCCCCGCCGCGGCCATGCTGGAGTTCTGGTCCACCCAACTGACCCCAGGACTCGTAGGTGGCGCGGCGGCCTCCCTCATAGTGCCTGAGGGCAAGGTGCTCTGCATAACGAGCATTACTGCCCAGGGATGTCCTGCACAGGTGTGTCCAATTCTGCGGCTGTGGCCGCGATCTGCTGCTGCCTGGGTCCTGCAACCCTAAAGTGGGCAGCCATGGACTGAATGCGCGGCTTCGAACCCGCCTGCTGACTCCGTGGGCCCCGCAACCGCGCCTGCTGGACTGCCGGGGCAGCGCCGCTGCCGACAGGCCGCTGGGATGCCACGGCTCAGAAACCATCAGCTGCAGCCCAGTGGTTGTTTGACAAACAATCCATGCCGTTATTTCAGCTTGTTGCTGCCTGCATGTTGCTCTTGGCCTGGCCGCATGGCCGCAGTCTGCTGCCGCCAAATTTGCCCCGCCTGCGCCACGAATGGATAGGGTCCACCTGTGCAGCCCCCCCTCTGCTGCCTCTTTTTTTGCCCTCCTCCCCAGCTGCACCCTGCATCACACTTATAGCCAAAGCCACCGCCTCATTTCGGCCCACCAGCCACCGCTCTTGGCGCCCACCTTGCCTGCCGCAGAGCATGCAGCGGTTCCCGCTCTGGACAGATGCAGTGCTGACGCTAGTGGTGACGTGCGGCAACCGGCCGCCGGCGCAGCTGTGGCGCAGCGACTGGGTGCGGAGCGTGGTTGCAGCACCCCTGCCAGCAGGCAGCCCTCTGGGAAGCTGGGCCGCTTGCTGGGCCCTCCAACCTGTCGCTTGCCATGCACGACGACCACAGTCGCCCGCCGCATCTCCTCTTGACCTTCCTTTGTTTGTTGTTTGCAGGTGCGGCACAAATATGACAGCGTGCGCATGTACTGGGTGCCGCACTTTGGCGGCGCCTGCTTCTCGCCGCACGTGCTACTCAGGTGAGGCGGCGCGCAGCTGCAGCACCCTGCTGTGACACCAGCATGGAATGTGCCCCGCCTGGGCGACCTGCCTCATCGTCAGCCTGGGCTGCAACGCGGGCCGGCATGTTAGCGTTGGCGTCTCGCAGCCTGTGACGGCTGGGCATGCGGCCGAGCAGCTGGCTGAAGGCGGCCCGCCTCTTGTTGCCCGCCGTGCCTGCAGTAGCGGCGGTGTCACCTTTACCGCCTCCTTTACGCTGCCAGACGGCACCCCCCTGGGCGGGGAGATGGCGCCATGGACGGGCTCCAACGCCCCCACTGTGCACATTGTGGGGCACCTGCTGCCGGAAGACCAGGCTGGCGACTTTAGCGGCAAGCGCCTGCGCATGTGAAGGCACCCCGCGGCACGGCAGGCACGGCCCTGGCGCCCCAGCGCAGCGTGCACAACGCAGCACGACCTGCAATCCTGGCGTGTGCACAGCACGCCGCGGCACAGTTTGTACAACAAAATGCGGCGCGGCGCGGGAATGCGGCCTGCTGGCCGTGCACCGCGCCCACCCGCCGCCCGCCCGAGCACGAGAGAGAGCCTACCCATGCACGAGAGAGGCTGGGTGCAGCGTGCCGGATGCGGGGCGGCTCTGCAGTGTCGTATTATTTTTCGTGGGGGGGCTGCGTGCAATGCAGCTGCTGACGCAGGGCAGCCCTGCTCGATCACTCACCTATATTATGGATCATCTTTGCCCAGCACACTGCGGGCCGCCCCCTGACGCTTTCGTTCACATAATCTTTTTTGATTCATTGCCCCTGCCTGTGCCTGTGCAGCGCTCAGAGAACCCACCCTGCATAGCGCACACTGCGTGGGCGCCCCCGCAACTCTTGTTTTCCACCCAACCCCATCCTCTGTTCCACACTCTTGGCTCTCGGCAGCTCCCGCGCCATGTTCTGTTGTTCACCATTTTTGATTGGATTTTCGAGGCAATTCATCCCACCAGCCGCCTTCCTTTCGGCTGCGCGCGGGCCCGAGGCACTCTGCTCGCCCATCTCTGGCCAAGGCCCGTGCACGGCCGTCCTCTTGCTGCCCGTTGATCCCCTTGCCGCCGCTGGCGGGGGCCGCCAGCTTGGCCACGCTGCGGTTCACCGATGTGAGGGAGGAGGCGGCGTTTGGGAGGTGGCACGCCGCGCGCATGGCGCGGGTGGATGCTCTGGCCTGCCTGGCCAAGGGCAGCCTGCTGGCGCTTCAGGGGTCCCTTGGCGTCAGGTGGGTGGTTGGGTGTCGGCGGAGGAGCGGTGTGGCTGGGAGAGTGGTGGTGCGTTGTGGTGGCGACGGGTGGGCGAGGGGCCCAGCCTATGCAGCCTTGGGTGGCAGCGCTGGGTGGCAGCCTGGCTGAGCCTGGCGCCTGGGGCAGCCCCTGGCTGCGCCTCTGAGCGCCGCATCTGCCGCCGTCCCTTGCCACCCCGACCGCCTGCCTGCCCGCCGCCTGCCTGCCTGCCCGCCGCCCGCCTGCAGCCTGCTGGCCGTGCCGTACTTTGTGCGGGACTGGCTGGTGGGGGCGGACCTGTCCCGCCTGGGCCTCCTGCTGCCCCTCCTGATCCTGGCATCGCCATACCTCTACCAAAAGTGCGCCACGCCAGCCCCGCGGCCGCAGCGCCTGCACCTGCAGACCCCAGCTCCTGCCGCCGCCCCGTGCCGCGCAAAATGTGCCGGCTGCCGTGTCGTCGGCGCCGCCTCTGTCCCCCCACCGTGCCCTGGCATGCCCCTCGTCCCGCCGACCAACCGCCGATCCCCACGCATGCCTGCAATTACCAATGTGTGCAGGTACCTTGCCACCCGGGAGCGCCTCATCCTGTCGGTCCACGTGATCAGCGTGCTGTGCAGCTGCGGGTGAGGCTCACCCACCAGCCAACCGACAGCGACCCACGCCAGCCGCTGTCCTGCCCCTGTCCAACCTGCCTGTGCTGGGCGTTCCTCTCCCCTGCCGCCGCTCCCACCGCTCCTGCATTGCAACCCATTTTGATGCAGGCACTGCATGCTGGCGCTTGCGGGCATGCGGCCTCGGCTGGCCGCGCAGCACGAGCGCTGGTGTATCTGCCTGCCCACCAGCCTGCTGCTGTTCCAGGCGCGCCCGCGCATCGCCCCGCCGCCGCCGCCGGCATGAGCCAGCCTCTGGCGGCCGCTGGCTGTGCTTGTGCTTGTTGTTTGGTGGGCGCATGCTCTGCGCTACGTGCCAGCATGCACACTGGGAGGCATGGCTCTGGCAAAATGGCCAAGAAGCTTTCTTCCTCCCTGCTCCCCGCCTGGCGCCACGTTGCAGGTCCGCTTCAGGTCGCAGCTGCTGGGCCTGGCGCTGGGCCTGGCTGCCAGCCTGGCATGCCACGTGTACACCCCGCCCCACACAGCCGCCGCAGCCGCCGGCTGCTCCGGCGTCGGCGCCTGCGCTGCGGCGGGCGCCACGCTTCGGGCGGCGCTCAATGTGGCCGCCCAGCTGCTGCTGCTGTACGCAATGGAAAGCCACGCCCGCCGCCACTTCCTGCTGCTGCGCCGTCGCCGGCGCGGCCCGCAGCCGGGCAGCTGAGCAGCGCGCAGGCGTGCATGCAGCTGGACTGACTTTACACACATTCAAACACATTTGAATGCGTTTCCTGATTCATTCTGTCGGTATGCCCCAGGCGGCGGCTGCGCCGGGTTGCTTGTTTTGCTGAACATGTTGGGCGGTGCAACAACGGGCGGGCAACCAGGGCACAAAGAAACGTGCAGGAGCAAGGCCTCACCCCCAGGCTTTTCTAACCCAAGCCGAAAGAAAGCACGCCGCAGGGCTACTCGCCACCCCGTCCTGCCGCCGCGCCAATAGGCGCCGCGCCGTTGGCGCCGCCGCCCGCTGCCGCCGCAAGGACCTTGGCCCGCGGCGCCTGCAGCTGCGCCTGCGGCTGTGTCTGCGGCTGGTCAAGGGGGGAGGGTGGCAGCGCAGAGCCTGCCGGCTCGGCTTGCGACCCCGCCAGGCTGGCATAGCTGGACGCGGCAGGCGAGCCGCGGTGCAGGCTCCAGCGGCTGACGGAGCGCGAGACGGCGGCCGCCAGCTGCTCCGCGCCTTCCGGTGTCAGGATGAGGTAGGCCAGGAAGCCGACATAGGCGGACACCACAGCCCAGAACACTGTTGAGACAGCGGGGAGGGGAGGAGGGGCGGGGGCGCGGCAGGTGTCAGGCGCCAGGTGCCGCAGAGGATGGCCAGCAGCGGACCGCATCTGCTGCAGAGCAGGGCAGAATTGCGGGGCAGAGGCAGCAGCACGAAGCAGGCGCGGCGGAACAAGGCGGGCGGCGGCAGCGGCGGGTGGCGGCAGCGGCGGGCTGCGCCCACCGATGTGCAGCCACCAGGCCTGGGGCAGGAAGGGGGTGAGGGTCTGGTAGGCGGTGCCGGCGTTGATGGCGATGATGGCGGCGGCAATCAGCCAGCACACGGCTGAGCAGGGGGGGCAGGCGGGCAGGCAGCCAGGGGGTCAGAGGGCTGGAGGGGAGGCCGTGAGCTGCGAGGCTGGGGGTGCAGGTGCAGCCTCATAACGCAAGGCAGCAGCGCACGACGGGCTGCCAGATGCTTGGCCGCCGGCTCCCTGCTCCAGCAGCTCCCACAGGGAGGCTGCCCAGGGCTGGCCTGGGGTGGTGATGCACCTGTCGTGGCGGGCTTGTTCACAAACGCGCGCCCCATGATTGCCGTGTTGGACGTCAGCAGCAGCAGCTGCAGCGGGGAGCAAGCAGGGGCGGGGAACGTGCAAGGGAGGAGGGGTGGGCCGGGGCGGCGCCAGGCCGTGCTGCTGAGGCAAAGAAGCGGGGCAGCCAGCGGTCGGTTGGCGCACTGCCAGCCCAGCAGGGGCGGCACCGGGGGCAGGAGCGTGGGGGCAGGGCAGGGCCCTCACCGGGATGACGGCAAAGGGCAGCTGCACGCTCTGCAGGATGTTGATCCACTGGTTCAGCGTGTCCAGCTGCGGGGGCAGGTTGGCAGGGGCAGGAGGTGGGGTGAAGATGAGCGGGAAAGGTGAAGATGAGCGGGACAGGTGATCGAGGGGCAAGGAGATAGGGAGGCACCGTCGCCTTGCTCGGTCCAGCGCAGCAGGCAGCGGCGGCGAGGCCTGGACGCGCCACCCCCGGACGCGTGGATCCCGGCCAGGCGCATCACCGGCTGAATGCAGCAACGCCTGCATCATTGATGCCTGGCATCCGCGTGCTGCGCCTGCCACCCACCCGCGTGGCGTCGCTCCTGGCCGACAGCGCCACAAGCAGGGTGGGGCAGATGGCCACGCCGCGAGTCACCAGAGTGCGCATGGCGGCTGATATCTGGGAGGAGGGCAGGCAGGGGAGGCGGGGGATGCAGGCAGGCACAGCTTCGGCTCGGGAGCGCCACGCCACGTGGCGCACAGGTGGCGGCACTGCTGGCAAGCAATTGCCAACCCACGCCTACACACACACACACACAGGCAGAGAAGCGAAGCCAAAGTACCGCCGCCGCGCTCTTCCGTCGCTTACCTTGAGGTTGAGGAAGCCTCCCATCACAAACTGCCCCGCATACGTCCCCGTCATCGTGCTGCTCTGCCCCGCCGCCAGCAGCCCCACCGCCCAGATCACAACCATGTGCTTTCCAAAGGTGGCCCCCAGGTATTCACCCGCATTGGCCAGCCCGATCTCTGCAGCGGGGACAGGGGGTGGATGGGGGCACGCGCCGGCTGGGTGGGCAGGAGGCGGCAGGACTGGACTGGAGGCGGGGGCGGGGGCGGGGAGGAGCATGGGCGTGCCGGGTGGAGGCCCGCCAGTGAACAGGCAGGCGGCGGGGCCTCGGGCAGATTGGTTTAGGGTATATATCTGAAAAAAGGTTTCTAGGACGGAGCAGCAGGCAGCCGCGGCGCACACCACGCCAACCCCCGCCTCACCCTCCTCGCCTCCCCGGCCGAAGAAGCCTCGGGCAAAGACTGAGATGACGCACACGTTGATGAAGAGCGTGACCAGCAGGGCCATGCCCGCCTCAATGTTGTAGTACAGCACGGATTCCTGCGGTACAGCGGGGCCATGATCAGCCTCGATGTTGTAGTACAGCATGGGTTCATGTGGCACAGGGGCACGCGGTACTGCCGGTTCGGCAACCGGCGAGTTGAGGGGCATGCTGCAGCCAAGCGCAAGCTCCCCCCAAGTGCAGGTGCAGCGGCAGTACGCGCACGGGTGTACTGCAGGCGGGCAGCGGACTGGCAGCACGCCCGCAAAGAGGGGCGGCCGCACCTTCTTGGCGGCGGGGCTGCGCCGTGCGGGCGTGCCGCTGCCGTTGGCGCCACCCACCGGCCTGCAGCGCAGCTACGAGCATCCCGTCAGCCGGCCACCCCATCACAGCCCATCAACGCGAGGCGTCGGCCCCGAGGCGGCGCACGCAGAACAGCGGCAGCACGCGCGGCCGCTGCCGGCTGCCGCCAGCTGGCCGCTCGTGAGCTGCGCCACAGCAGGCAGCAGCCTGCCCACCAGGCCCACCCAGGCCCACACTCACACGCGCACACACACACAAGCACACACACATAGGCACGCACACACAGGCACGCACGCACAGGCGCGCACACACACACACACGCAGGCACGCATTCACACACAGGCGCGCGCGCACACGCAGGTGTGCATACACACAGGCGCACACACACGCACGCACACACACAGCCCAGTCCCCCAACCACCCCCCAGCCACCCCAGCCATTCCATGCAAGCCCACCTGGAGTGCACCAGCGCCGAGTGGAGGAAGAGGTTGTGGGGCATGATGATGGCACCCAGCAGCCCGCAGGCGGTGGGGATGGCGGCGCGGGGCAGGCTGGGCAGCGCCAGGCCTGCACGGCAGCCGCGGTCGGTCGCTAGGCGGGCTGCCAGCCAGCTGGCGGGCACAGGGAGGGGCCAGCCCCGCCGCGCGGCACACCCAGCACGGCCGCGGAAGGCGGCCGCCGAAGCCCGCTTGGGCCACGCCAGCCGATTCCAACACAACACAGCACAGCACAGCGCAGCGCAGCGCAGCACAGCACAGTACAACACAGCACAGCACAACACAGCACAGCACAGCACAGCACAACACAGCGCAGCACAGCACAGCGCAGCACAGCACAGCACAGCGCAGCACAGCACAGAGGAGCGGGCCGCCTGGTCTCACCCTTGGCCACCTCGCCATAGGGGATGTCGACCAGGAAGAACAGCAGGCCCATGCTGACGCTCATCACTGCAGGCCAGGGGAGGCAGGCAGGGTAGGGCGCAGGCTTCTGGGGAGGGCTGACCTGTGCTGCCAGCCCCCAGCCCCCCAGCGCCACCCTGCCCTCACTGGGTCCAGAAGCATCCCAGCACATCCCCTCCACGCAGCGCAGCCAGCCCAACCCCCACCTTCCCTTGCAGCCCCGCCGGCAGCGCTGGGGAGACCCACCCACCCAGCCGCACCCTAGCCCGCCCACCCCTACCTCACCCCCCATCTCACACACACACACACACACACACACACACACCACACCACACCACACCACACCACACCAAGCACAAGCGCATGCATAGCACACGCGCACCTGCACAGCACACGCGCACCTGCAATCAGCAGCTCGAACACCACTTCCAGGTAGCGCACCCCCAGCCGCTCCAGGAAGAGCAGCGTGTAGGCGGCGGCCGCCGCCAGCAGCACGCCGCCCCACAGCGGCACCGCACCCCTGGACAGGAGCAGCAGGGCGATGGAGGTGCCGATGACCTGGCGGGAGGGAGGGAGGGGAGAGGGAGGGAGGCAGGGAGGCAGGGCAGGGCAGGGCAGGCAGGGCAGGGCAGGCAGCGGATTAGCTCGGAGGAGTTGGATGGCGGGATACGGTACTGGCGGCGCCAGAGCAAGCAACAAGCAACACGCAACAAGCGACGGGCTCCCCGCCCAGAGCAACCAACACACAGCAGGCTCCGCTCGACGGCAGGAGCAGCCGCGCGCGCGCCGGCCCCGCCGTGCCGCCTGCCTGCCTCACACGCCGCGTCGCCCGCCGCCCACACCCGGTGCTGAAGCCGCTGCCGCCGCCTCACCTCTTGTATGTCCGACCCGATGATCGCCAGCTCAGCCATGACCCACAGCACGTGCCGCACGCCCGGAGGGTACTGCTCCCGGCAGTGCTCCGCCAGGTGCTTGCCCGTGGCCACACCCAGCCGGGCTGCCAGCGACTGCACAGGCCGGGCACGCAGCCGTGAGTGTTGGTGTCAGGGTGTGGGAGGGCAGGAGGGCAGCACATGGGTGGCGCGTGGGTGCTGGTGGCGCCGTTTGCCGCCTGGCCGTGCCCCGGCAGCCAGGCCCGCGGCCGCCCCGGGACTTCCGCCAGCACACAACCGCCCGGGGATGGGGTCCGCTTATTGCCAGGCCACCTTGCCAGGCCCGGGCCCGGCATGCACACGAGGCATCCGACACATCACTGCCAGGCCCAGGGCCGCGCCACACAGGAGCCCGTAGCATTCACTTCAAGCTGCTCCTAGGGGCGGTAACAGGCAGGCAGCACAGCCATCCAGGGGAGAGGATCTGTCTTGCCTGCAGCAGGTATCCCATGGTGGTGGACCACAGCAGCACCCACAGCAGGCGGTATCCCGTGGTGGCCCCCGTCTGAAGGTCAGCTTCCAGATTGCCGGGGTCCACAAAGGCGATACACATCAGGGCGCCAGGCCTGCATGGGAGGTAGAGCATGGGAGCGGGACCCTTGGAGGGCGTGGAAAACACCCCAGCAAGCAAGCAAGCAAGCAAGCACGGGCAGTGGAGCGTGGGAGGGAGGACCCTGGAGGGCTTGGGAGGGCGTAGGAGGGTGCAGCAAGCACACAAGAGCGCTGTGGCGAGGAATGCGGCGCAGCTGGAGGGGCGGCCGGGCCTGGCACCAAGCTCCGCTGCAGCGCGCGCACGCGGTGCCGGGTGCTGCGCGGACCGGCGGCCTCCAGGCAGCGGCGTCAGGCGGCGGCGGCGGCGAAATGCGGCGGCGAAATGCGGCGGCTGCGGCGGCTGCGGCGGCACCCACCCCACGTGCAGCAGCAGGCGCCTCCAGCTGAACACAAAGGCATCGTCGTAGCAGCTCTCCACATCCACATTTGCGCCCTCCAGCAGCGCCTGGCGCAAGTCTGCCTCGCTGCCGCCCTGCGGCGGGCTGCTGCCGCCGCCGCCGCCGCCGCCGCTGTGACCATTGGCGGCCGCCGCGTGTGCGCCGTAGCTGCCCTTGCGCCCGAAGAAGAAGCTGGACTGGCGGAAGGGGATGAGGCTGGCCATCCTAGGCTACCAGCGGCCCGCTTCCGTCCTCCACCAGCGGCCGCACCACCAGAGCAGTGAGCTACGCAGCCGTGCTCGAGCAGAGGAGGTGCTCCCGCTTCCTGCCCGCCACCTACGCTACGCCAGCCGGTGCCACGCGCTTGATTGCTCTGCAGAGTGTAGAGAGGCCAAACTTTGGTGGGAGGTACACCCACGCGGGCGGGTGGGCGGCACACACGCCGCCGTCAGCCCCGCTGCTGGCAGCACCCCACGACGGCCGCGTGTGATTGCGCTTCATACATTGCCCGGCGCCGCCTTCCTGGCACCTGCCTGCCTCCGTCCGACTCTCAGAAGCTGCGGGTCTGTGCCATGCGGAAGGAATGCCGGCGGACGTGTGCGGAGGCGTTGAGGGGTGCAGTCGGTTACTGAAGGACTGGGGTTTGAAGCGCTACAATGCAGCCCAGGATGGAATGGAGTGTCTTCTTGTGGGCTGAGCTGGCCGCGCCGCCACCAGATCTTGTAATGCTCAGCCTGGAGGCTTCAAGGAGTTGCGCCTCTGTTCGGTGATCTACTGACAAAAATGACACAAAATATACCTGATCTTGCCTGATGCTGGCTTTTGCACTGCCGGAGCACCGGCGAGCGGCGGCGGGCGGCGGTGAAGGGCCCGCTCGTGGGCGCCTGCATTGCATGCTCATCAAGCAACCAAGCTTGAATATTGGATTATACAGATCACATAGGAGCATTAGCAGCGAGGGCACCTGCGCAGGGCACCCGTGACCGTCACGCCGGCGTATCGCCGACGTAGTGCCGCCAGTTAACAGGCACCCCTCATCGGCACCGCTGCTCTCGATCGCGATGGAGCCCGAGGCACCGCGTGAATTTAAAGACCTGCCCAATGTCCTGGTAGTTGCCATTTTCGGGCACCTCAGCCCGCAGACGCTCGCCCTCGCCTCCTGCGTCTGCAGCAGCTGGCAGACGATCGCGTCCCAAGCGCCCTGGGCTCAGGCCTGTGCCGCCCTGTGGCCATCGCCGGCCGATGGCGCCGCCGCCGACGCCGATGGCGACGCCGGCTGGTGGCAGCGCCAGTATGGCCGCAGCCAGCTCGCTGCTCGCTGCTGGCTGGGCCGGCCCTCCATGGACAAGCTGATGGGTCACAGCGACGCCGTCAAGGCCTGCTGCCTGCTGCCGCAGCATGGGCTAGTCTTGGCAGGTGCGCCGCCGCCCCTGGCTTGGCTGGCGCGGCGCCTGGCGGCCCCGCCAGGTTGCCTGCGCTGCTGGCCCCGTGGCCCCTGTCCGCGGCACACGCCTGCCGCTGCTCATCCCACTGCCGCTGCAGGCGGCATGGATCGCACTGTGCGTGTCTGGGATCTGCACAGCGGCATCCAGCTGGCCGCCAGGTAGGCCGAGCCGTGTCTCCCTGCCCACATACCGTGCTTCCTTGCCCGCAGGCTCCCTCCTGATTTTATGCTGTACTACCCTGTCGGCCCCTCACGTAGCGCCTCCCGCCCCGCCCTGCAGCCGGCGCCACGGCGGCACCGTGCGCTGCCTGGCCGCCGACGGCCGCCTGCTGGCCAGCGGCAGCAGCGACCACAGCGTACGGGTGTGGCGCAGCGGCGGCGGCGGCGGCAGCGGCGCCCCGTTGTTTGACGTGGCGGGGGAGAGGAGGGTGCTGATGGGGCACGGCGGCCCCGTCACCAGCATCCAGCTGGCGCCAGGCGTGATCGTCAGGTGAAGCGGGCCTGTTTTGTTAGCCACCATGCCTGTGCTGCTCGTGCAGCCTGCGTTGTTTGTGGCAACAGGTGGGCAGCAGCCCTCTTCCATGCTTCTGCTGTGTGTGCAGCACAGGTCCCTGCAGGCACCTCGAACGATTGCCGCTGGCTGCAGCCCCATGCCGCCTCGCCGCCTTGCTCGGCCTCACGCTGGGCTGCCCCCTCTCGCTCCCACCTACCGCAGCGGCTCCTGGGACTGCTCCCTGCGCGTCTGGGACCGCGCCACCCTGGAGTGCACACAGCTGGAGCACACAGGTGGGCATGTGGTGTGTGGGTGTGGGTGTGGCGTGGTGCGTGTGTGTGTGGTGTGGTGTGGTGTGGTGTGGTGTGGTGTGGTGTGCGTGCATTTGCCGCGCAGCAGCCGCCAGGTGCCTGCGGCCAGCCAGCACGCCCGGCCGCACGCCGAGCGGGGTCTGTGTCGCAAGTGCCGTTGCTGATATGCAGGCTGTAAACACAAAATGCAAACAAACTGCCCCTGCCGCAGAAGACTGGGTGTCCTCGCTGTCGCTGCGCGGCGGCCTGCTGGCGGCGGCCTGCGGGCGGGAGCTGCTGCTCTTCAGGCGCGCAGAGGGCAGGGCTGGGCTGGGCGCTGTGCAATCTGCCGTTGCTCAGCAGAGGCTGCAATGTATAGCTATGGTGTAACCACCATACAACTACTTATGGCATGTCTGCTTCTGCTGCGGCGCTTGCGGGCAGCGCAGCGAGGGTGCGAGGAAGCAGATGCAGCTGCATGGCTGGGTGGTTGAAGGGGCTGGCCTGCTGCCTCCCCTGCAGGCTGGAGCGAGGCGCCCTGCACCGCCTGGGCTCGCTGCCCTGCCCCAGCGCGAACGGCGGCGGCGGCGGCGGCGGCGGCGGCGGCGGCGGCAGTGGCGGAGGCTCTGCTGCCGCCGCCGCGCCGGCGGCAGCACTGGCGGCGGTGGAGTGCAGCTGCGACGGTCGCACCGTGTTCCTGGGAGCCACCGATGGCGGCGTGTGGGCCCTGGACGTCCCTCCGGCCAGGGACGGAGCCGCGGGCGGCGCCGCCGCGCAGCTGCCGCGGCCGGCGCTGCTGCTGCGGCAGGCGGCCGAGGTGGCGGGATTGAGCTGGGACTATCCCTGGCTGGCGGTTGCCGACAGGTCGGGCAGCGTGGTACTGCTGGATGCCGGTACTGCCACCGCCGCGGGGGCAGCCGCCGTGGAGGGCTGCGGCGGCGCCAAGGGCGGCGGCACCAGCCACAGCAAAGCCTGCGTGGGCGCCGGGGGCGGCAAGCGTCGGCAGCAGCAGCAGCAGCAGCAGCAGCAGCGGCAGGCCCGGGTGCTGCACACTAGCGGCATGGGGGGCGGCCAGGCGGCAGGCGCGCAGTGTGTGGCACTGAGCGGCTGCTGGCTGGCTGCCGGCCTTGACTGTGGCAGCATCCTGACCTTCGACGGCAGCAAAGGCCTGCAGCAGCAGGCCGCCGCAGGTGCCGCCCGCCTGCAAAAGGCGGAGAGGCGGCAGCGCAACCTGGACCGCCAGCTGCAGCAGCAGCAGCGGGGCGGCGGCAGGGCAAGCGACGACGGCGGCAGCGCCCAGCGGCGCAGCCAGGTGGCCACACCTGTGCCTCCACAGCAGCAGCAGCAGCCGCAGCAGCAGGTGGGAGCTAGCGGGCAGGGAGGAGGCGGAGCTTGCAGCATCAGCGATGCCAGCACCGGAGGGGCAACCGGGGCAGGCCAGGAGGAGCAAGAGAGCAGCCAAGTGGCGGGGCGCCAGCTCAGCCGAAACCCTAGCATGCAGGTGCCACCCCCGCCCCGCCCAGACGCGCTGGCAGCGGCGCTGGCTGCAGCGGGGTCCAGCTGCCGCCAGGCGCACTGGCGTGTGCTGGGGACGGTGAGAGGCTCGGCGGCGCACGGCGTGGAGGCGGGTGCAGAGGAAAGCGCGGTGGCGCCCCTGAGGCCGCCATTTTGAACGGGAGGGTGTGCTGGGTCTACATCACAGGGATGCATCATGCACAGCTGCGTTGTAACGCATTTTGGCAGGAAGAGAGCAGTGGAGCACGCTTCTTGTTGTTTGGCGGTGGCGGCGGTTTGCTGCTGTGGTGGCCCAGCACGATGTGGCCTTGCGCTGGGTGATGCTCATCAGTCTATTTGATTTAGCTGAACCTGCTCTAGCAGTCATCATTGGCCGCCGAGACGAGCTGTGTCCAGTGTTGTTGGGCAAACCCCGCCATTGCCCATGCGCGCAGTTGTGCAGCGTGTGCGCAGCGCCAGCGTAGAGGCGAGCGATCTGCGTTCAGCGGGGACTGGGTGCTTCCATCAGGCCCAGGCGCCCTCGCACTTGCTGCACCCTTTGCCGCCGCCTGCCGCCGCCGCCAACGCCGCCGTCCTCTGCCACCCTCTGCCCCGCAGGTGGATGGCCAGGTAGTGAGCAGCATCGGCCCCGGCCTGCTGTGCCTGGTGGGCTTGAGGGACACGGATGGAGAGAAGGACGCAGATTACATGTGAGAAGCGGCAGCTGCCGCTGCTGCTGGCGCTGGGCTGGGCGCCACCTGCGTCGCATCGGCGCGCGCTGCCATGCACCACGCCCGCCGGCATGTGCATCACATCACACCCCCTGGGCTGCGCAGAGTACGCAAGATCCTGGGGCTGCGGTTATGGCCCAACGCAGAGGGCAGCAAGGCGTGGGATCAGAATGTGGTGCAGGTGGGGGGCCCTGGATCCCCCGCCTGCTTGCCTCGCCCGGATGCCTCGCCTGGATGGCTCCCTGCTTGCCTCGCCTGCCCTGCCAACAGCGGCCTGCGTCCCGCAAGCACGGCCGCCGGGGGAGTCGAAACAGTAGTGCCGCTGCCGGCCTCACTGCTGCATGCGTGCCTCCCTGGCTCCTGGACGGAAACTGTGTCCTGCCGCACCTACCCCACCGCAGAGGGAGTACGAGGTGCTGTGTGTGAGCCAGTTCACGCTGTTTGGGCGGCTCAAGGGCGCCGGCAAGCCAGACTACTCCAAGGCCATGCCGCCGCAGCAGGTGCACAGGCACAGCACACCAGCGGCAGCAGCAGCAGCAGCGCCAGCATGACCTTTTGGGCGCCTGGAACGGCAGCGAGAGGCCCACCACCCTGCTGATGTCGGCGGCATGCAAGTTGCGGCGCCCTCGCCCTGCTGCTGCTGCTGCTGCCGCTGAGGCTGTCTGGCGCCGCCTCCCGCTGCTCTCCCTCCCCGCAGGCGCGGCAGGCGTATGCCGCCTTCCTGGAGCAGCTGGGCAGGGCGTATGTGCCGGGGCGGGTCAAGGACGGCGTGTTTGGGGCGATGATGGATGTAGCGCTGGTGCGCCGCCGCTCCCGTGGGCTCGGGCTGCTGCTTGCGGGGCCCCTGTTCGCCGGCTGGGCTGCTGCTGCTGGTGAAAGGTGCTGGCACCGGGGCCCCTCGCCGTGCCGTGGGGAGGTTCCGCCGCCGAAAACAGGTATGTTGAGCTCCCGCTGGCCTCATGCCACACCACCACCACCACCACCGCCCGCCGCCGCTGCCACCACCGCCCCACCCACACCCACACCCACACCCACGCCCACGCCCACGCCCACACCCAGCAGGTCAACGATGGCCCCGTCACCTTCCTGTTGGACAGCGCCGACCCCAACAACCAGGTGTCGCTGGCAAGCGGCGCCAGCATGTCCAGCCTGTCGTCCGCTGACGCGCCCTGAGCGGCCCCCGCCTGCTGACGCGCCCTGAGCGGCCCCGCCTGCCCCCGCAAACGGCAGGCGCTTCAGGCGCGCAGCCCCGGCGGGCCTGCCGCCGACGTGGGAGCCGCTGCGGAAGCATCCCGGGGGCCCATGGCACATTGGGCATGCCTGCCTGCCTGCATCCCCAATGGAACATAATGTGATGTAATGCCGTGAGGCCTCAGGTGGCAGCTGTGGCATCCCCTCCAGTGCGGCCCCATCGAGCATCTCCTGTGCAGCCAGGCTGCGCTGATGAGTTGTCGGTTCACAGGGCGGGGCAGGAGGCAGTACATAGTAAGACCGAGGTACAGTGATGGGCAGTGCAGTGACGAAAGAAATAGCAAGCATTTAAAGCAGGACAAACAGCAGGGAGGTAGGGGACTCGGGGGATTTGCAGTGTACAAGCACAAGCGCGGCGCCGCCGCCGGCAGCGTGCGCCTGGGCGCCGCCCCTACCGGGGCCAGAAGAAGGCCACGAGGCCGCCGCCGATGGCGATGCCGCTGCCCACCCAGTCCCCGGTGTCGGGGCGCACGCCGTCCACCGCCCAGCCCCACAGGTAGGACAACAGGATGAAGAAGGCGCCGTAGATGGCATACACCTGCGGCGGGTGGGGTGCAGCACGGCTGGGGTGGGGCAGGGGCGGGGCAAGGGGTGCAGGCTGGCTGGCTGCGCCCCGCAACTGCGCCAGCCAAGGCGCGGGCGGGAGGTTGCCGAAGCCGGGCAGGCACACGCAGCAGGCACAGGGGACCCAGCAAAAGGCACACACCAAATCCGAAGCGAGCCCCGGCGTGCGCATGCACACTCCGCCCCTTTCACCCTATCCCTAAGCCCCCCCTCTCTCTCTCTCCCACTCTCTTCACACCCACAAACACTGCGCCAGCCGCAACCCAGCCGACGCAGCGGCCGCGCCCCAACGCTCATACACAACCGACGCACGCACGCACCCGCCCAAAGTTGTCCATGGGCTGGGCGCAGGGGATGACCCCGTACACAAACAGTACCGCCGCGCCCGCCACCGCAAGGTACCACCCCTTGTGCAGCCGAATCGACTGCCACACCAGCCAGCCGCCGCCGATCTCCGCCACGCCGGCGGCCAGGAAGAGGAACAGGGACAGGATGATCTGCGGCGGGCGGCGCCGTGCAGCGCGGGATGGGGCTGGCTGGGTGGTGGTGCACCGCGCCTCACGGCTGCTCTGCCGGGGGGGGGCCTTACGCACGCATGTTAGCTGCGGCACGCTGGGAGCAGCCACACCCATCCCTGCGCCTCGTGCCTCACTCGCCTTGCCCGCCGTCCATGTGAAGTCGTATTCGCTGGCGGGGCCCGGTGCGGGTGCTGGCAGCGGCGGCAGCGGCGGCGGCGCTAGGGCGAGCGCCTGGCTGGGGGCCAAGCCCGCATCCAGCGTCATCCCGGCTGCTGCAATGGCGCTGGATGCCCGGCACGCGCTGGCGCGGCAGTGCGCCTGCTGCGGGAGAACCTCTGTGCGAGTCCAGAAAGGGGATGTGGCGCAGCTAGCGGAAGGCGGCGTTTGTGGTAGTAGTGCTCGATGCTACTTGAGGCAAGCGCGAGCGCAAAGGCACCTAGACGCTGAAGGAGCTGCAATCCCACCCGTCGCCGCCTCGCCGCCACCCCAGCGCAGCATCAACTGCTCGCAATATCTCACTGCTCGCACGTGTTTTGGTCGGTCCCCAGGATTGCATTATGCACACCAAAGTAAATCCTCTCGCATCATGAGTTTCTCTATCTCTTGGCGGCGCTGGCCGCCGTGCACCCAGTTTTGAAGCGCCGACCGAGAGCTGAGCTGCCTCCATTCGAGCATTTGGTGGCTTCACTTTACTTGCAGCATATCCACAAGTTAACTTCTGGGCTGCCATGCCACTCACTCAAGCTGCCATGCATTTTGTGTTTCACGCTCCTGTTTGTCTTCGAACATTGCCACCGGGCACAAGGTGCGCAACTTTTGCGCAGGGAACAATGAGGCACAGCCGGATGCAACTACCTTCATCAGATGCTGGGACCATCTCGAATCATGTAACTGAAGTCGCTGCGGGACATGCAGTGCAAGCACCCAGCAGAGAGGGTTGCGAAGCTTCGCGCTTCGAAGCGAGCACGGCGGTGGCGGCGTGGCAACGGCCCTGGTGCAAATGTTAACGTGCCGTCCCCCAAACATCGGCCCCAAACATCGGCTATCCCTCATTCCTGGGGAGGAATCAACTGACCGACGACTCAAGTTCACTTGACGAGGGGTGTCCAACGGGAAGAGAGGCCTCTCTCTCTCCTTCCCTCTCTCCTCTCTCATCGCTCTCCCTCCCTGTGTCGCGAGTATACCAATGGGGGGAAGATCATCGGAGTAATGATGAAGTTTTCCAGCCCTGCAAAGTGGAAGCTAGCGTGCATATCCCTCGTGCTCGCAGCCTCTGCCCTCTCTCCTGCTCTGCCATCCCACATACGTTAGAACCAAAGTGCTGCCTCCCATTCCAGCCCCCGCCCAGCCACGACCTGCTCCCAGCTTCGGTCACCCGCAGCAGCCCCTTGCAGCCCTTGCCGCCCCCAGGCCCGCCCTGCAGCCATGGCGGCGGCGGAGGGCGGCTGGCAGGGCTCCTCGGGGCACCACGGCTCCCCAGACCAGCATGGCGTCGAGGACGAGCACACGAGCCCGCTCTTCCAATCTGACGATTTCAGGCTCTGGTGAGCAGTTCTTCGCAGCCTTAGCCCCGCCGGCGCGCCGATGCACCATCAGCCAGCTGGGCATGGCGCCCCGGCGCCCATGGCGCGTTGCTGGCAGCGCCATGGGCCTCGCCGACGGGACTGGGAGGCGCGGCAGGGCCTGAAAGCGCCTCAGGCGCCGCTGCTCCCCGAGCGCTGCTCGGGCCCTGGCCCCTGCCAGTCTCGCGTCGCCGCTCAGCTGCTAGCGCTGCATCCACGCCAGCAGCGGCGCGGGGCATGCCCGGCGCGCAGGAGCTTGGGCACAACCCTGACGCAGTACCGCTGACGGCTGTTCGCTGTTGCTCCCCATTTGCTGCCGCTCCACGCCCCACACCCTGCCTGACGCCCCTTGCTGCACCCCCTTCGTGTTGCAGGTGCATGAAGGTGAGGGTCTGGTTGCCGCGGGCGCCCGTGGGTCGGGGTGCCACGGCACGCTGTGGTGGCGGCGTGGTGGGGCACGCGGGACCGTCCCCGGCCTGAGCCCCGCACCAGCCAGCCAGCCAGGGCAGGCAGCCTTGCGGCTCGCGCCACGCACTGCGCCAGCGCCCCGCTGCCACGCGGGGGCCCGCAGCCGCGCAGCCGCCGCGGCAGCAGAATCAGCCGCAGCGAGCGTATCGGTGTTCCCCCCTGGGCGCCGTGCTCAGAACGCGCAGCTTCCCTCGCCTGCATCCAGCCTCTGGTCGCCAGCCGTGCGGGCGCCGCACCGCATGCCTGCCCTGCCTGTCGCCCACACACCCACCGCCGCCGCCGCCGCCACCGCCCGCAGGTCATCCCCTGCACCAAGCGCTTTGTGCACGACTGGACCATCTGCCCCTTTGCGCACGCCGGGGAGAAGGCGGTGCGGCGCGACCCGCGCCTGCACAACTACACGGGCATCGCGTGCCCAGACATGAAGAAGGTGGGTGCTGGGGAGGGGCAAGAAGCCCGGTGGGTGCTGGGGAGCGGAGAGGCTTGGTGGGTGCTGGGGAGGCGCACCGGCGGCAGGCGCCCAGGCGGCAGGCCGCCACGCACGTGCCGCTGCCTGCGCCCGCCCTGCCGTGCGCCGCGCCACGGCGCCGCACGCCCCGCAGCGCCCCCGGCCGCGCAGCTGCCGCGCTTGGCACACGGCCCCAAGCCTTACACCCGCGGCCCCGCTCCCCATGCCTCGCCCCCGCCCCGCTCTCCGCAGACGGGCAACTGCATCCGCGGCGAGAAGTGCCCGTACGCGCACAACGTGTTTGAGTACTGGCTGCACCCCACGCGGTACCGCACGCAGCTGTGCAATGACGGCCCCATGTGCCGCCGCGGCATCTGCTTCTTCGCGCACTCGCTGGAAGAGCTGCGCGTGCCCGCCTGCAAGCCGTACGTCAGCCCCGAGGCGCTGGCCCGCGCCTCGCTGGAGGCGATCCAGCAGAACCCACACCCGCTGGGGCAGCAGCTGGCCAACCCGGGTGGGTGGCGGCCCGCGCTCGTCGTTGTTGTTGCGCACGTGTGGCTGGGAGCCGCGTGCGTGTGTGCACCCCGTTGCCGCTGCCTGCTGCCCCGTGCCTGCGACCCGCGCTTGCTTGCCTGCTTGGTTGCTTGCGTGCTTGCTGTGCCTGTGTGCCGGAACGTTGCTCGACGCGGCACGCCTCCGCCTGCCCCTCCCTCCCTCCCCTCCCCGCCTTTCTCCGCAGTGGCGGCGGCGCAGCAGCAGGCTGCCATGGCGGCCATGGGGCGGCCCGGCGGCGGCGGCGGCGGCCGCGGCGGCCGCGACTCGGGGCCCAGCAGCCTGGCGGCCAACGCAATGCCGTTTGTGCCGGGCACCTCGGGCGGCCCAAATGGCGGCGGCGGCCCCAATGGCGGCGGCGGCTTCCGCTACTCTGACAACTTCCGAGGCGACTTCCGCCACTCAGGTGCGCCCCCTTGTCTTACAGCATTAAAGCAAATAATGAATGAATGAATACAATGGCCGTGTGCTGCTGCCCTGATGCCGCTGCCGCACCGCTCCTCGTGGTGCGACGGCCTGCTGTGGCCGCCGCCCGCTCGCGCCCGCCCCCTGCCTCACCCGCCACGCCTTGCCCTTTGCCCTCGTGCCGCAGGCGAGCCCGCGCGCTACAGCGCCCCCGGCGCCGCCGGCCTGCTGGCCAACTCCGGCAGCAGCGGCGACTTTGGCTCGCTGGGCGAGTACGGCAGCCTGCCCTCCCCGCACTTTGCGCAGCAGCGGTGGACGGCGCCGCCGCAGGCGCACGGCAGCTACCCCGGCCCCGCCTACCACGGCGGCGGCGGCGGCGGCGGCGGCGGCGGCGGCGGCAGCTACCCGCCGCAGCACCAGCAGTACGGCCAGCAGGCGCAGCGGTACGGTTCCATGCCCGCCAGCGCCGGCTCGGGCCGCCTGTCGGGCAACCGCGGCGGCGGCGGCAGCTCCAGCAGCTTTGGCGCCGGCAGCGCGCCCATGGAATCGATCATGGACATGGCAGCCGCGGCGGCCGCGGCGGCCAACGCCTCTGCTGGCCTCCGCCCGCAGCACGCCCAGCCCTCCCACCCCCCGCAGCACCAGCAGCACCAGCAGTACCAGCAGCAGCACCAGCAGCAGCAGCACGCGCACCACCAGCAGCACCACCAGCAGCAGGGCTACCACCCCGCGCCGGCGCGCGCGCCGTCGCCCGCGCCCCACAGCCCCAGCCCCGGCCCGCGCAGCTTTGCCGCGGTGCAGCACCCACCGGCGCAGGGCTTTGGCTCCTACTCGCCCATGGCAGACGGCGGCGACGGCATGCCGGGCAGCAGCCGCAGCGTGGCGGCGCCGGGCAGCGTGCCCAGCGTGCGTACCAGCGACAGCCACTCTGAGGAGGACGGAGGTGAGGGAGGCGCCTCCCGCCGCCAGCCGGGGGTTGGCATGCGGCGGGCGCAGCTGCATGCCATGGCCCCACCCTGCTCCGCCTGCTGCGCCCGCCTGCGTCCCTTCCTCCCTTTTGGGGGGAGGCCGCGCGCCTCAGGGCTATTAGACCTTATCACCACCGACCCTTGCCGCGCGCCCACCTCCCTCCCCTGCTTTCTCCCCCCCCCTCTGCAGCCGTGTCGCCCCGCAGCCAGCAGAGCGGCCTGCCCGCCAGCGCCAGCGGGCGCGCCAGCCCTGCGGAGCCAGACCTCGCCCAGTCGCTGGCCTCCCTCAAAATCGCCATGACGCAGCAGCAGCTGGCGGCGGCCGCGGGCTCGGTGAGCGCTCCCACCCCCGC